ATTATTGTGAATGGAGTAACCGTCAACAATATTAGATATGCCGACGATACCTTAGTTCTTGCCAATTGTGGAGAAGACCTTCAAAATCTAATGAACAAAATAAAACAGACTTGTGATCAGTATGGATTAAAACTCAACGTTAAAAAAACTAAATATATGATAGTTAGCAAACAAAATTATATACAGGATGACGGTATAAAAGTCGGAGATACCACACTGGACAGAGTAGAGAAACTTGTGTATCTCGGCAATAATATCAATGAGAGCTGGGATCCAACCGCAGAAACCAAAAGCCTAATAGAACAAGCCCGAGATGCCTTTGTAAAAATAAGAAACGTACTTTGCAGTCACGATCTTAGCATTGACCTTAGAGTTGGTATGACATCTTGCTACATCTTTCCTGTCCTGCTGTATGGAGTGGAAGCGTGGACTCTAACTGAGGCTATGCTTAAACGCTTGACAGCCTTTAGACGACTACTGAAAATAAGCTGGGTCGACAGAGTTAGAAATGAGGAGGTCCTTAGACGGCTGAGCCAAACAACACAACTGGTCAATATAATAAAGAAACGCAAGCTGGAATACTTCGGTCACATTATGAGACACCCTGAAAAATATGATCTTTTACATCTGATCATTCAGGGAAAGATCCAAGGTAATCGTGGTCCTGGTAGACGAAGAACATCATGGCTGAAAAATCTAAGCAATGGTATGGAAAATCAACTACATCGTTATTTAGAGATGCTGTCAATAAAGTCACGATAGCGAATATGGTAGCCAACATGATATCCAACGATCGATAACGGTCATGGAACTAGAAGAAGATGCATATTTGTCCACTTGTTCGACGTTGGTTCCGTTTATTAAAAGATTCTCGTTACTTCTTTGAGTTTTCGATATTCTCATAAATTTCGTCTTCTTCACATTCATTGTTAGACCATACTCTTTTCCATACTCTGCTATTCTGGTCACCAGTCTCTGAAGATCTTCAATGTTTTCGACTAAGATCACAGTGTCGTCCATATATCTAATGTTGTTAATGGGAACTCCATTCACATTTATTCCAGCTTTTTCACCCTCATGAGCGTTTTCCAGGATCTCTTCCAGGAGTCAACTTTTTAATTAAATGCCTGTCGACTAAGATCACAGTGTCGTCCATATATCTAATGTTGTTAATGGGAACTCCATTCACATTTATTCCAGCTTTTTCACCCTCATGAGCGTTTTCCAGGATCTCTTCCAGGAGTCAACTTTTAATTAAATATACAAAATAAGAATGCCAAACAATTTATAAAGTATTTATTACAACAAACAAAACATACTAATCTATTCAATATCATTAATTCTACCCCATTTAAGCCTAGATTTCTTAATTTCTAGGTTTCAACCAAGACGGGACATAACCTTCGAAGTATACAGCATTGGGATATGCTAATGGAGGTGGAGAACCCTTAAATGGATGTACATCTTTCAACTTCCTCATTAAAAACTCTTTGTTGATTTGTTTTGGATCTCGGTATTTGTCCATATATAAGTTAAATGGTTCTCTAATCGGGAACCAAGCTTGTTTTTTAATATATGGAGGTGCAAAATCATACTCAAATATTGGTTCCTTCATATCTATAATAGAAAAGAAATAAGTGAATCCTTTAATGTATTTCCATGACGTATCACACAGAATTTAAAAACAAAAGTGTAAAAACGAGTAGTAAAACATATTTTTAACGATTATTACTATAAAAACTTGTTTCTTTGTCCTCAGTAAAGTCTGTCTCATATATTGTTTTAGTTATCTTTTAAACAATTTATTTTCTTATAACTATTCGTACAAAAACACCAAACTTCTAGGGTTGTTGTGGTAGGGTATCAGAGGGTGTTATAAGAAACTCCAGATAAAAAGCATATTATATACAATTTCTTTTTGAGGCATTTTATTTGAAAGAAATTATTTAAGACAACTATTTTATACTATTTAATTAGTAAGTTTATTAATATCTGAAGTTCACTTTTTATTTTATCAACTAGAAAAACATATCAATGAACAAAACACAATGGCAATAATTATATAACAAACCAATATTCACAAAGGATTTTGGAACCAATGGTGATGACGATGAAGTTCACCCTTGATGTAATGAAATTAATTATCTCTTAACTCAAAGCAATAAAAACACTCATTCTTTTGGTATTTCAGTAGATTGTCAGTAGATTTTATGAAGATTTATTAGTTCAATATCATTTGAAAAATACAATTTTCTAGACTCTCATAATTATATAGCGTAAGTTACAAATAACATTTTACAATTTAAATAAGATTACGTATTGGTTTAACAGCACGTTAGTTAATTTGGAGATAAAACATATTTAATGATTGTGGAATACCCCGCCTTGTGTAACTTATATTGATTGCAGAACATACTTCTTTTACAATTTTTTACAACATTCTATTGAATCAGTTTCTCTCTATTTATGAGCTATTATATATCTAATAAATAGAGAGAATTTATATTAAGAACAAAGTGAGCGTACAACGAAATATCGACGAAGAAGAGGATGTTCTAAGTACATCTTTTAAAAACCCTAGTGTGGCTCGTACAAATGATCTGTTGCGTCTGTACATTCCAAATCCCCAAAATCTGGAGGAAAGCTAGAGTAATGGCCCTTTTAAACCCAGGAAAGGATCCAGCGGATACAAAGAGTTTTAGACCTGTCTCTCTTTTGCGTCACCTTTTTAGCGTTCGAAAGAATGATACTGAACGGGATCGCTGAATCTGTGGCCACTAAAAATATTTCTGAACAAGCAGGGTTAGACCCGGTAAATACTGCTGCAGTGGGTTTGAACTGAAAGAAATAACAGGAGAAGCGTTCATAGACTTCAGTCATACGTAACGCTCCAGTCCAATAACAATCGGTGGAGAAATAAAAAAGAATGGACTCTCACAGGGAAGTGTCCTCGCGCCGATGCTATACAATATTTACACCAATCCTTCTTCTTCAGCCTTCATTTATCCATTGTTGGACATAGGCCTCCTCCAATTGCTTCCACGCTTCCCTTTGCATCTTTGCATCTTTTGCAATTCTCATCCACTGTTTTCCAGCTACAGCTGTTATATCGTCTATCCATCTCTTTTTGGGCCTTCCTACGCTTCTTTTTGTTTCTCGAGGTCTCCAAATGTCACTTTATGAGACCATCTGTTGGTGTCTTGTCTTGCTACATGTGCTACCCATTGCCATGTCAATGTCGCTATTTTTCCCATGATGTTGGTTACGTTGGTTGGTTTAGTTCTTCGACGTATTTCGGTGTTAGGAATTTACACCAATGACCAACCCAAAAACCAACAAACAAGACAGTTTTATTTACGCGGATGATACAGCTGTGGCAGCTCAGGCGAATACCTTCAATGAAGTCGAAGTAAAACTGACAGATAAACAATGACATTGGAGGTGGAATGGCGTGGTCAGATGCTAGAACAAAATGAGACGGCAAAATCCGCAAACTAACAAATACAAAATGGGAAGCACAACCACACACTCTCTGTACTTCTGCCTTAGCATTATGTTTTTCTGCCGCCGAGTTTGGAGCACCAGTGTGGGAAAACTCTGCTCACGCTAAAAATGTCGATGTTGCGTTAAATGAAACGCTTCGTAATATCTGAATGTGAAACTGACACCTATCGAAGAGGTTTACCCTATAGTTGGATTCGCTCCACCTGCTATCAGAAAACAGGTCACGTTAGAGATATAACGAAAGAAGCAGGAGACTGATCGAAGACACACCTTGTATGACCACCAAGTTCAGTCAAGTAGACTAAGATTTCAGAAAAGCTTTCTGAAAAAATTACGATTCCTTCCCGAAGAGCCAAAGATGTGCCGAATACACCTACGGCAAGCGTCAGCTACAATACATTTGGCCCCCTTAGAGGAAATGGCTGCGGGACACAATTTGTCGTATCCCACATGGAAAGTGCTAAACAATGCTAGTAACCTGAAGAAATCGTGATACCAGGAGGACGATGCCTGCGACTGTGGCGCGGTTCAGAATAGTCACCATCTAGTATCATGTACAAAGACGAGAGAGACCTACACAGAAGGCCTGTTTTTAGCGAATGACAGGGCCATCTATGTGGCCAATCATTGGAAATACAAAATTTAAAGCTGTTGGTGTTCCGGACATGGAAAGTAAGTACTAAAATATACAATAATAATTTTATATAATAAAGTTTTTACACAGTGAGCATTGTTCTATTCATATTAAAAAATAAAGATTCTTTCATCTATAACAGTTTAAGTTTTAAGTATATGACAAGATAAATTAAAGTGCTTACTTAATTTATTGTGAAAAAATTCTTTTAAAGATGCATCCCAATCTGACTGAAAGAATGCTAGACCAGCTGGTGTCATGCTATCTTGGAATTTTTTGTAAAAATCATATGTATTGAAGGTTCTATCTGACAGGGTTAAACTAAAAAAAAATATTTATTACTTCATTATTCGTGGTAAAAATAATATTTAAATTCATATACAAATGTACATACCAAGGTCCTTCTTTCTTATATGATGAAAGATCTAATTTCTTATCTTGTTTATACAAAACAAAGATCAATCTGTGAAATCCAATGCCCTTTGGGGGGAATGGTTGCAAATACTCCACCAACTTCTCTCCTTTTTGCAAATCATTTCCAGGAATGTTACCACTAAAATACAAAAAAAAAATGTTTATAAACTTTATTATACATATATAAATTGCCCCAGGTGTGAAGGTCTACACAAAATGAAGAAATTGACTTTTGTAATATCCATACAATACAAAAAAAATCATTATTAGTATTATCATATGAAGGGTACAGGTCCAAAAGGGGGCAAGTTGCAATTTTTCATAAATCGATCTAGTGGTGCCATCTTGTAGCAATTTTAGCATAGAAGTGGTCAGCGGCTTTTTACATGTTGTAAAAGCATATAGTTCCCATAAAATGCTAATTATAATTTATGCATACACCGCCAATAGGATATAAGCAGCTTTGTCGGTTAAGCTAGTGTTTTGATTGTTTTACAAGTGATTTAACGTAAATAACAATTAATGTAGTAAACAATAGTAGTGGAAATAAGATTGAAGTAGTGCCTAGATACAATGAATCAAAAAAGAGAAAAAAACACGGCAGAATGAAAGCTATGAAAAAAATTAGACTGCAGAATCACAAGGTAGGTGCAACCTGTAATTGTCGTAAACAATATTTTCAAAATGTGCCTGAAGAAATAAGAAAAACTGTCCTCAAGAATTTTAATACAATGACTTCTGTTAATAAGCAGAACTAATAATTATGTGGATTGATTAGAATACTCCCTATTCGCTTAGGAAAGATAAAGATGAAGCAAATTTGAGAAGTGCTGCATTATCTTACAGTGTACGTTTTGGAACTAATACTAGCTTTAAAGAAATAAATATTTGTAGACAAGCTTTTATATCTATTCATGGAATAAAGAAAAAAATTAGAGATATTACAAAATTCACTAAAAATGACTGGAGATGCCCCTAAAGATAAAAGGGGAGAAAATAAAAACCATATTTTACCTTTATACAAAAACCAGACTATTGTATAAAGTGGTATGTTTAGAAACAGCAAAGTTTAAATTGAGATTTTTACCATTTTTGAATACATATAAAATCACTTACATAAACCAATGAATATATTCACTCGACGTTTCAGTAAAATGCCCATCTGGATTGACCAAAGTTAATGTCCATAATGTATTACTATCACTATCATAAGAAACCATAGGGGCATTTACTGATTCAGAAGGTTTTATAACATTCCCATAATACACAGGCAAACTTCCTTTCTCTGTTTCATAAAGAATGTTTAAAGGAACTCGTGGGTGAAAATATGCGTCGCCATACAAATGTTCAAATACACCATAGTGGTCAGCAACCTTTTTTATATCAACGGGGCTTGAGTTTTTAACCATTCTTTATTAGTTTCTTCTAGGTCGATTAGCACTAAAAAAGTATTCAATTGTTATAAAATAAACAAAACTTCACCAATTAGCTGTCGTTTTACTTACACTTTTTATCTCTGGCTAATTTTTCTAATGTTGGATTCTTTTTGTGCTCTTTTAAAATTTTTAATCTTTCTTGTAAAAGTTTTGATCTGGAAATCCTAGGAGGAGGCAATCCAATATCTACACGATAATGAATAGCAGGATCTTTATAATTAGCCTCTAAAAAAGAAATACAGTAGGTAGGAAAATAGTCTTACAGATTGATAACAGTTTTACCTGCTAATTTTGTTTCCAATGATTTAGCAACGCCTGGAGGTAAACCTCTTAAATGGTGGCCATGTCTCACAGATATGTTTACCGCAGAGGTAAGGCTTCCGTTTATATTTTTACAACAAATATTCCATAGAGAACTAGCCATTTCTTAAGGACCTAACCTAAAACCTAACCTTAAAAAAAACATTATTTTGATCCATGATACTAAGACTTCCAAGATAAACCCACTTCGCAATCGAATTTTGTACATCGACGCGCATGACGTCAATTGGTGATAAAAGTCACTTTTATCACCAACCTTTTATCATCACAGTCGGTAAAACATATATGGAAAGAAAGGGGTTTTTATTTAAATATTTAGAATATTAAGGATGTTAGGTAAAATATCTGCAATTAATCTTAAAAATATGTTATATATACATCACTGTTAGCCTAGCAATGTAAACTAAAATTATATAAAAAGTAAGAACTAAACATCCTTTTGCAAATGGAAATTTATATACAATGGATTGATTTATTAAAATAAAAATTTAATACAACTGATAAAATAAAATTCACTGTAATAATTTACAAGTTATTTTAACATTTATTTTACAATTTTTAATATTTTCTTCTTCTTAACTTTGGATGTTTCTTTAATATATCTATTCAATTTTCTAATTTTAAAATATAATTTACACCTTTACTAACATTACATCTGAACACAGCTAAATCCATTAGCGATTTTAAATAATTCTTGGTTAATTTTAATGACCCTTTGTTAAAATTGTTAAAAATATGGTCCAGTTCATTACATTTAATTAGAAAATCTGGATATGGTTTAAGTAAACCTCCTTCGGAAAGATGGTTTACCCAGTAAACCGATGTCAACGTACAAGATAAACAATAAAAGAAAACTAAATCTCAAGTTAGTAGATATTTAAGTAGATACTTAAATATCTACTAACCTTGACTAAATCTGACAAAACTCCATACAACACAGAACATTTCTGGTGACATTTGTCGCCAAGTGACGTCACACGACTGATCGCGTGCGCGTGGGTTTATCTGTAGTTTATAGTATCATGATTTTGATCTGACAGAATGTGAATGAACGCCTAAAAGTTAGCAATCTACTAAGCTACTTTACTTTTATTCGGAATTGCTGCAACACTAAATATACTTATCGAATTAAATTGTGTCTAACTTGTTTATATATTAATTTATTTTAAATATCGAAGAACCCTTCTCAGTAAATAAAAGCCATACTTTATAGTATAAAACTACTCAAAGAGTTCTTTTACCAGTTTAATTGATGAATCTTCATTATCCTCCAGTCTTTTCAATCTATTCTTGATTCAGACTTTCAGTAATTTTTTCAATTTTTTCGCTCTTTTGTCCCAATATATAATATACCCTTGTTTTGAATGTAATTTTTTAGGCAGATACTTTATTTTATCCAAAGTCTATTTCTTCTTGTTGTCTGTATTTTTCATTTCTGCGACCAATAAAATATATTTCTACGTTTTTTTAAGTACCATCTTCGTTACGGAGGTTGGGAATCTTCATGACCAATCTTGCCATATCATTCTTTTAGGTTTCTCCCGATGTCTTAGTCTTAGATTTTTTTGTTCTCTATTTTGCCTTGCGTTACGAGCCGATGAGATATTTTAGGGTTTTTTTTTTTCTGTTGTTACCCTTCAAACTTATTTTTTCCTCATTCTTCTTGATACTTTAACGTTCATAACATTATTTACCTATGAAATCTTCAGAAGTCTTCTGTACGTGCACACCTCAAAAGAGTTACGTCTTTCGATTTCGCGTACACGATTCAACTGCACAGTATAGAATTCTGTATACGTAACACTTACTCAATCATATAGTTCACAACTCTCACAAATTAGGTCAGTACATATTTATTTATTCAAAGATTATTTTACCCGTATAATTTCTAGTTGAATTAAAGGAAAGTACCCCAATCCTTCTTTTGTAAATAGCTTAGGACGGTACGGTAGGACAATATCAGGGAATTTCGATATCTGTGATGTCAGGCACTAGCTTTTTCTACCCAAGTCAAGTAATCACAAAACATTAATAGACAGTCGAAAGCTAGTCCTTGTAGAAGATACAAGCTCTCGTGAAAGACTTGAAAGATAGACGCAAATTAGTGGTGCAGAAGGCACAAATTCTTGCATGTCTCATCTCGTAGTATATAAGTGTAATTCGTTCCGTAATCTTGCTCGTATATCAAATTGCTCGTATGTCAAAGCAATATTTCCCCATTGAAATTAACTGAAATGTCATTACTCCGTTCCGGCCTGTGGAAAAACACGTTGGTTGTTTTTGTTAAGTGTTTTTAAATAAGAAAAATGTATTTAAAGAAGAAAACCTTTATTTATAAGTAACAAAACATACATACATATTCTGTAAAAACATAAGAAAAAGTGAAGTAGTGGTCTTCGCTTTTTTCGTAACACTTTGCTCATTTTCATCTGCAGATCGTTAAAAAACTGTATAAGGAGGTTTCTTTCTTTCTCCCCATCGAGCAATAAGACAAAAGGGAATCTAATCCTTATGAAAAGGAGACCAAAAAAGTGGGCCTCTGATGGGGACATATCCAAATGCGAATGCTCTAAATTGAAATTTTCCGACACTTATCAACAGTAGCTATATAATATTTTTCAGAATGTGTCTTAGACGAGAAAGTTTTTAATTAATTATTAATGATAAGAGTCTAAAATGCGACACAATTGTTAAAAAACTTCAATATAAATAAGATTTCATGTGACATTTGGGACAAACAAAATAACATAACCCAACTAAATTTGATGTCAAACAAGGAGAGAGACTCTCTTTCCTTGTAATGTACCTCTAAAGATCGCACTTCCTGTCTAACAATATGTTTGCCCCCACTACCTTTACATTCCCTCTATTGTCTTTTGCTCGAGTTTTCTCCCTTTCAGAATATTGCCGAATGTTGCCAGAATATTGCGCAACTTTCTCCCACAATCCCAAGATCTCCTTTATATATCTTGTAGATACAACGTCTACTAATTCTGGCTCCTCTTCAAAACTAAAATTTTTCGTTGAATCACCGTATGCTGATATCATCGAGCAAAAAGATAAAAGAGGGAATGTAAAGGTTGGGGACAAAAATATTGTTAGACAGGAAGTGCTATCTTGAGAGCCACTTTAAACAAGGATAGACAGTCTCTTTCCTTGTTAGAAGAGTCAAATTTAGTTTGGTTATGTTATTGTTTGTCCCAACTGTCACATGAAATTTTATTTATATTGAAGTTTTTACCAATTGTGTCACTTTTAGACTATTATCGTCAATATTTAATTAAAAACTTTCTTGTCTGAAAAATATTTTACAGCTATTGTTAACAAGTGTTGGAAAATTTAAATTTAGCGCCTTTGCATTTCCGGATATGTCCGCCATCAGAGGCCACTTTTTTGGTCTCCTTTTCATAACGATTAGATTCCCTCTTTTATCTTTTTGCTCGATGGCTGATATGAGTGTAGTTCATCTAAATCCTCAGTTGTCAGCTGCTGAGACTGTTCTTCGACAAGTTCTTCTCTTTTATCCACCTCCTGACCCATGTATTTTACAAGAGAAACAATCTCATCTACCACTGACACTTCAGGTTCCAGTGCTTCGCAGGTTCTTTCATCTACAGTAGGTAGAGAATCTCATAAACTTGAACTCTTGGAGTAAATCATCTTCGAGATTTGGTAGGTGAGAAGGGGCATTATCGAGGACAAGAATGATTTGCATCGGTAGGTTGTTTTGCTTTATATATTTTTTAACAGAAGGGGCAAACACCAGGTTTATCCACTGCACAAAGAATTTTCTGTTGACCCAAGCCTTTGGCCTCCACATAACTGGCAGTTTTTTTTAATCTTATCACTTAAAGGCTCTGGGATTTTCTGAATGGTACAATAAATAATAAGAAGGAGTTTGCTTTTACAGTCGCCTTTCGGATTGGCGCAAAGTAGTAGAGTAATCTATCTTTCATAGGTTTGTGACCTGGCATCGTCTTCTCCTCTGTTATTATGTAAGTCCTTTTCAGCATCTTTTTCCAGAAAAGCCCTGTCTCGTCACAGTTGAAGACTTGCTATGGAGTATCCTTTGACTTCTATCAGTTCGCAAAACGTTTTGATGTTAGGATGTTAGCTTAGGACAAGAGTAGTGCGAATTTGCCTCTCGGCAATTGAAGACTGTGTGTTGCCGATTCCCAAAAGTGCGTGATGCGTAGTGAAAGACGCTTTGTAAACCCGGTGTTTTGTGTTAAACCGTAAACCGTTTTGTTTCTCTCTGTAACTATAACTTTGTTACTGCCTCCTAGCACGTAAAGCTAATGATATTTGTACAACTCTTTTTAGTCTAATCAGAATGCGATATTTTCAATGTTGAATCAGCCCTCTAAGTTCATTACAAATAAATCGAAGGAATAATACATCTGTTTTATTGCTTCAGTGGACCTTGATAAATATTTTTAAGCAATCAGGTGTTCAACAACGCCTCTCTTAAATATGGAAAGTTAGGTAACAACCCTCTCCACCAGAGAGTGATGAAACCAAGAAAGCTGAAATTGAAAACTGCCATGAAATTGCATCCTATCAAAGCTGAAACAATGAGAAGTTATCTATAGAAGAAAGTCAATAAAACTGCGGTCAACTCTGCGGTACTCGTTGACATTCGGTCTTCAAAAAGCTCTGCCATTTCCTATAAGTTGACCATTTCAATAGCTTACTATAAACGCAATATGTATGCTTATAACTGCGGTGTTCATCCTATAAATGCAGGCCCACCTATAATTATGTTTTTGGGATGAAACAAGGGTAGAAGAGGTCCCAACTAGCTTCAGTTCTAGAAATGCATTGACTCATCAAAAAATTGTTATATACAGTGATAGTTGTGGAGGGCAGAACCGTAACACAAATGTTTGTTAGTGCTTCTACGGCTTTGTCATGATGATGAAATGGCTGTGCAAGAAATAGATCTACGTTTTATGATTTCAGGTCATTCTATCTTCCGAATGACGCAGACTTTGGGATAGTAGAAAGGTTCAGCAAAATTAAACGGACCAGAAGATTGGATCAAAATTATAGAAGGTGCCAAAAAAAAAGAGCAGATCCCTATAAAGTGGTACATTTAAAACATGAGAATTTTATTTCTACACAAAAAACCTTATAGCAAACATTACAAATACAA